GTTTCAAAAATGTTTTATTATTAATTGTTTGCAGAATAGGCAAAATTTAAAATATGTTTAGAAAACATGCAGTTTACAAAATACTTTGTTAAATTTGCATGAAAAGTTAAGTGCTTCTTTATTATAACATTAAATTTGAAAAAAAAAAAAAAAAAAAAAAAAAAAGGTAATGGTTTTAATGGAGTTATCTGTCTATCTTTGTTCAAATAATCTTTTGGTTTTTGCATTTAATATTGGGTATCAAATTCTCTATTCTTCTATAACTTCTCTTCTTCTTATACCATCGCACATCGGTGAGTGAGTGGTGGGCCAGAGGTGAGCGAAACCCTTCTAATCCATCTTTTACATTGGTGTAATTTATTTTTTTAAATGTAATCAAGAGAACCCCAGCACTCTAAGACTGATATAATTTTTTCCCTAATGTGATTTTTGACCTCGGTATATCAATATTACCACAAAAAGGGCAATATTTTACGATTCAGATATTGATGAAAATGTGAATAAACCATATAAAAATGTAATATGAGGTCTGCAAGATTTTAATTTCTTAGTCCACTCACGTCACGTATTGAAATAAGAAGAATTATGAAAATTTATTTTTATGCTAACTTTTTTTCAAATTGTTTTTCAATAAAATCCCTAGGCCGCACATGTGATCTACTTTAAATTACACACATACACACACACACACACACACAGACACACACACACATATACACACACACACACATATATATATATATATATATATATATATATATATATATATATATATATATATATATATATATATATATATATATATATATAGGGGACAGTTGCCGAAATTGGAACAGCGCCTTAATTGGAACACTTGCATTTATTTAAAAAAAAATTAATTATGGCTATATTTTGCATTTTTTTAGTAAAACGCCTTGTTTTCTAAGTTTTGACACATTTTGAAAGTTATTCCTCTAAAAATGCGTTTGCACCTTTGATTTAAAGTTTTTTTGCGTCATTTTTTTTTTCAGTGGTCTAATTTTGCGTTCGCACTATATTGGTTGCACTGGGTAAACTATGGTGCTATAAGTTATACGTTTTTTTCTGTTTAATTCGATGGGATTTAAAATGCAAAATAATCAAATAAAGCTATCTTATAAGTTGCTGCCAGCATGTTATCGAATTAATAACAAAATAGTGCAAAGTTTCCTTGATTGGAACATTTAAGTTTTTTTTACCTAATCAGTAAAAAAATCAAAGGGTTGTAAAAATAGTTCGAGTGCAATTAAAAAAAACTTAGTAACAACCATAAGCATTAAAAATAATACTTTATTTAGTGATAAATTAAGAGAATGTCATAACAGTTGAAGCTTTTATTCAATTTTTTGTATGTAAAATTTTAGTTTGTCAGGTTAATACTTCTCCTGTAATAAGTTTTGAATTAACTGTTTAAATTTTCACAGTAAAGATAAAAATTATTTTTAGTAAATTTTGTTAATTTTACTAGGTTTTCTTTTTAAAAAAATAACCTGTTCTAATTAAGGAATCAAAAAGTTCCAATTTAGGGAACCTGTTGCCTTGATTGAAACAAAATGGTATCTTTGCAAAAACTAATTTATTTCCAATAACAGTGCAATCAACTATTTCAAATTGTGGTTAAAAGTATAATAGGGATGTCTGTTTGTATTAATTAAATCATAAATGTTTTCATAGTTAAGTCATCTTTAGTTAATAAACATTTATTCCTAAATTGTTCCAATTAAGGGAACTCTCCCCTATAAATAAATAAATAAATAAATAAATAAATAAATAAATAAATAAATAAATAAATAAATATATATATATATATATATATATATATATATATATATATATATATATATATATATATATATATATATATATATATATAAACATATGTAAATTACATAATAGATAAAAATTTACAACCAAATTTTCTGAGCTCAGTAGGTGCTAGGTTTTTTATTATAAATGATCTTACTTTAAAAAACTAAAGAAGACGAATAAAAAACAGTTTTAATTAAATCTTGTTGAAATCTTTTTTAAATGTTTTTAATATTATTGTAGAAAGTTATGGAACATTATATGAAGGAGTATAGGAACAAATAGGCCCCAAAATTTCATCACGTCGCCTCAAACGTGAGGGCAATAAGTTGATAAAACATCATTTTTACTTTTTTCAACTAAAATTATATTCATCCAAAGTTTAAATTTCATAGTATTATCTCTTAGCGTTTAAAAATTATGACCATATCAAATCTGTAAACCACTCAAATTGAGGAGGGTTTAAACTTTATATGGTCATTACTTTTATTATCTTTTTTATATGTATGTTTATAAAAGATTTTAATAATTGAAGTAATTAAAACTGCTCTTTATGCTTCGTAATGATTTAAATAATTAAAACTGTTCTTTATGCTCCGTAAAGATTTAACTAATTAAAACTGCTTTTTTTGCGTCCTCTTCACTTTTTTAAAGTAAAATCTACGATTGGAAATCATTAATAATAAAAAACCTAGCACTTACTGCGCCCAGAGAACTTGGGGTCTAAATGTCATCTAAATAACGTTTCTAAAATATTGTTTTTATCTAAAAAATTGTACGTGTCAAATGCGTTTAGTTCATTTAAATAATGCCCGTATAATGGAAATTCCGTAAATTAATTGTGAAATAATGTTTAAATAATGCCCGTTCTGGAAATTCAGTTAACTAATTGTGAAAAATATTTAAAACACTTTAATATTAATGTTTTAGACTTAAAATTACACCTTAATATTAATGTTTTAACAGAGACCACTAAACAATAAAGTTCTCCAAGCCTCAAACAAATTATGATCTTATAATGAAAATGCTACGTTGCAGCTACGTTTCAAAGGGTGTCTAGAATAAGGAGTCAGGGAAAAGTCAAAGACTCCAATAAACCTCAGGAGGCCTAGGGTCTTTTGATGTATGATGTTTGTCATCACCAAGATTCTTATATATAAATATATATATATATAAAATATGTTAATAAAGTTCAATTTTATAATCACAATATTAAAGAAATTAAGTAGATAAAATAAATAAAAATTACATAAGAGTCTTGACAACCCAAGTCCCAGGAGTGATTACACAGGTAGGTGACCTGTGATTATGATTGCACAGGTAGGTGACCTGTGCAAATATGACCACTCCTGGAAACCAAATATGGTCGGATTTGATTTTCCTGATATCTATTACCTATATTTAGACCTGTACCATCTAATTGAAAAACCATCGGGATATTCCAAGACCACCCTTAACCACCCCAAAAGTGATCACCTGAGCGGTTATGACCACTCCTGAAGACCGAGTTCCAAATGAAAATTGCAACTATCTTGTAAAAAAAGATATGCTGCATACAAAAAAGCTCGTGGGGTATATTTTAAATAATAGCTTTTACTACTAATTTTAAATACTATTTTTTAATACTAGCTTAGATGTTATATTAGTTGCTATAATTTTTTATATATTGCAGTTTTTTTATTTATATTTTTTGTTATTATGTTTGATAACGATTTTATAAACCATGTCTTAGTATACCATCTAAGACGCAAAATTTGTTTTAAAGAAATTTTTCTCGAAAATAAAAAAAAATTGGTTCAATATCTTCTTAAGTTTTAATTTAATGGTAGTTAAATACGCTTTAAGGTGGTTATCAGGTAAAAAAATTATTTTTTGATTGCCAACTTAATCATATACCAAAGTTAGTTTAAAAGAAACATACTTATTAATATAATTAAAAATGATAAAAAAAAAATAATTTCCTTTTTTTTTTTGCTGAATCAGCATAAAATGCAAAAAAATCAATGAAAAAAGAAAACAACATTTTCTCAGCCTCTTTATGA